ATATATATATATATGATTATTATACTGGGCATATCCATTCTCTTACCCCTATTACTTTCAAGTAGATCATACTCAGGGCTTTCAACTTGTATATTGTACAACTTAAAGTCATCATTCCGAGTTGAAATGTTATTTCGGTACAGTTAGCCAGAATATCACAGTTGAAGGCTTATTATTATGTAAACACATGCAAAGTCCCTACTAGTAATTACGCCTGTCTGAGCTCCTAAAGAAGCCCAGCAACACTGCTCTATGGATAGGCGGTACTTGTTATATGATAGCATGTTCATCTTCACTCCTCTTAAGATGGTGACTACAAACGTTACTTTTCAGTAAACTGTATCTACACCTGTCTGGTGATGACCACATACCCGGGTCCATCGTTTGCCCCATCCTGACCGCTCGTTTCAGTACCGGAGTTAAACGAACCGCCGCCTCCTCCGCCATTTTGGTCACGATCCTCTCCCCTGCCTCCCCCTGAGTACCCCCCTCCCCCACCTCCTCCACCACCCTCCCCATAACTCCCTCCCCCTCCACCAAACCCACCATCAGCATTATTACATGTCCCACGCCCTCCAACCCCGCCATTCACAAACGCCTTCCCACCTTCCCCACCGTACTGACAACTGTTGCCTTTAAACTGTTTAGAACTCCCTCCATCCGTCAGCAGCCCTCCCCCTCCCCCACCCATGTAGGGAGCCTTCCATTTTGTCGCCCCCTGTCCGTTAGATCCTCCACTACAACCAGTTCCTCCACAACTCATGTTACCGGTAGTGGACACAGTCCCGTCACACAGGGGGTTATGGGTCTTTAGTCCATACCCTGCCCCTCCCCCACCCCCGGCGATAATGAGTGGCGTGTTGTCTCCCCTGGTGACAAATGTACCGCCCCCTCCTCCTACACTCCAGTATTCTTTGTTCTCAGCACCTTCTTGTCCCACCAGGATCTTCAGAGTTTCACCTGCAGTGTTGGAAAAGGAACATCAGATTTTGTATCCATTACTTATCATATACTCATCCATCTTTTTTTTAATTAACATGGAAAAGAATAACAATTTTTACTGTATAATTATTTCTTTTTTTTCCTACATTAGTTACAAGTAGAATGGAAGCAGATATCCAAAAATTACTGTGTACTCTCTATAATGCCAATGTTCTAACACTTCTAAAGTTGGTTTGTCACCAGTGCACCTAGATGGTTAGATAGGTGTTTACCACTGAACACTTTCAGACTTCTTTACAGAGACTAGACCATGTACATGTCCAGCTGAAGTGTCGCACCTTGTTTGAGGTTAAATGTTCCCCTCAGTACGGCACCCCGTCCTCGGGCGGACTTCGGGTTCTTCACACCCCACCCTGCAGCAGCACCTGTCAATCAAACACGTCAGGCACTTTCAGAACACAAATCTAAAGAGACACGGACTATTGAATGACTACTGTACGAAAGAGAAAACAATTCAAGCATGAAGTTATTATAAGCTGGGATTCAACAAATCAAATATGTATTTCTGTATGACTAATTAAGTAAACCAAACTTTACATTAATTACATTTACTATTAAATAAAAGTCCCTACCCGCTGCCTCTATGCTGTACGTTCCCGTCCCCGGTACAGTGAAGTGTTGTATCCCGTCATGTAGCGTCACCAGGTGTTCATGGTCCTGTCCCCTGTAGTGGGTACCCAGGGTGGTGGGGCCCAGACGGCCGCTGGCGCCCAGGGTGGTCAACTTGGCAGTTCGGAAGTAAGAGTCTATAAGAGGGAAACAAAAACGCAACAGTGTTCATCAGATATTCAAGAACCTTGGTTCAGGCTAAACAAATTTCAAGTCAGTATCTCAAAGAACGGATACCAGTTACCATGTTCTTCTTTTCATTCCTTGAGTGGATGCCATCTATTCAACTTTTTCAAGTAACTACATGTATTTGATGTAGGTTTACATGGAGAGGTTTTTGTCCAAATGTCTACCTGGGTATGGGTGCCTTCAAAATCGAAATTTGTATTTTTACTCTTTAAAAAATAATGCTGAACAACGTACCGACAATGTCGCCAAGGATCATTTCCCTTTCCTCCCTTTCCGTCCTAGGATCAAACCTGACGTTACTGATGTCGTCAGGAATGTCCGGGGTTGGACCTTTCAGCAGAGACTCCAGCCGGGCCGTGACGTCACAGTACACGTTCATGACGTCAAAGTCACTGCCATGCTCCACGACTTTCTGTGAGAAGTCCACTGTGCTGGACAGACAGCCTAAGGTGCTCTCAACACTGTCTGCTGTAGCAGAGAGCTGCTTGGAACGGGCTGCTGTGACGGCCGCTAAATTTTCTTTCAGTTCGGTCTGCTTGCGTCTAACAAGGCCAGTGTAGTACTTGATCTCTTCCTCCGCAGCTGCATCGATGTCGTCTGCAGCTTTCTTACTATTAGTGTTGAGTTCTGCTTGCTTATTAGCTGCGACACTTGCAGCGTCTCGGTATTCCTCAATTTTCGGCCTCGCAGCTGCGAGTTTGCCTTTGATCTTTGCCCTGACGTCACTCACAACGTCGGCCAGCAAGCCGTACTTGTGGTCTTTGTGCTGCAGATCCTTGCAGTCTCGGCAGATGGGGCTCTGGCACGTCTCACAGTAGAACTTCAGCTTCTCGTCTTCATGTTTTGGACACATCGGCAGTGATGTCGACTTGACCGATGACGTCTTGGTGATCAGTTGTTCTTTTAGCTCTGCCACTCCGATGATTTCATGGTCACGTGTACGTTTGGCTCGACGGTGGGCACGAGCACATTCGTCACACAAGAACTCTTCACACACAACACAGCCACAAGTAGCCACTTCTTCTTCACAGACATCACAAGACACTTTGTTATCCTCCTTGCTAACCAAACTCTTGTGAGCGTCAACGGTGTCCCTCAAACTCAGGACAAAGAAGTTGTTTTTGAGCCCGGCGACACTGCCCTCCGGAAGTACAGTTTCGATCCGACATGTTGGACACGGAAACTTGTCCTTTGATTTACTTTGTTTCGCTACAAACTTCTCCAGACAGTCCTTACAGAAGGTGTGAAGACACGGCAGGATCTTGGGGTCCTTGTAGGGCTCCAGGCAGATCGTACACTCCAGAAAGTCACCCGAAATCTGGCTGAGAACGGCCTCCGCCATGACACCTGTACGCTTCAGGTGAGATACCGTTACAGGTGAACTTTGAACTTCTGTTCAACACAGGGTCACTGTTTATAAAAGCATCAGGTTTCAGCGGAGACCCGACTAGGTAAATAAAACTACTGACATCATCTTTCCCTCAAATAAAAAGAGGGCTTCCGTGCATATTTTCGACGAATATACATAACCATGTAGTGGATTCTGTTTTGATGTACAATAGATAGGTTGCTTAATCTTAATTGTAGCTGTACACGTATTCCTTTAAGTTACATAGCCTTGGCTTATGTATGCATTTGGCAAATAGATGTTCTAATACATGTACAGGTGCAATACAGTGGACGTTATAGGATTTGTAACTGTAAGGAAAAGTCACCTAATGAAACATAAAGCTTGATAATGTATCCTTGGGCATAGGCACAGCGGGCTCATTTCACATACGGTGGGGTTGGGGATGCCAAGCTAACACTTCTCTTGATAAAATATATTATATATATAGTGAAGCCCGTATCGTGGCTATATGCTGTCCTGTAGACAACATACTAAGCATTTGAACAGTTGGCCTATACGTGTAGTATGTACAGCACATGGTAGATACCTGTATACTGGGTTAGGTGGGTGGGCGGGGCTATTCCAAGCTGGCACTATGTAATGACAGAGCCTGGCTTTGGGGAAAACGTTTTGTACATTGGGGGTAAAGCTACGCACTTAAGCAGCAGCCACTGTTGTGTCGGTATAAACCCAGTAACTGTAGCCAAGGAAGAAGAAGAGAAGAGAAAAAAAAACAGATAATGTATGTATAAATAGAGCAGAATGACCAAGCTACAGACAACAAGCATCAACAATGCATGAATTTGTAGCACAGCTATATGATCGGTATATGACAAAAAATATAACTTAATGAAATGATTAGTTTCCTCCAAGGCTTGACGACGATTTAAAAAGAAAGATGAACTGAGAAAGAAAATACTTGATTCTGCTGTGGGAGAACAAAGAATGTGCCAAGTTGGTGTTGCCATGGCATTTGACATGTTTTCTCAATAGTCAGGTAGACGACATTGTATCCAACCTAGTGGAAAAACAATATCACAGTGTGCAACCTACCTAGAGCTTGTCTGTGAGTTACATGGTTGGTTTTTATGTTGTGTCCCGGATGTACCACAACGGACCTTCAACTGTGTTGTTTGAAATTAACTGTGTAACGATGTATGCTTTGTACCAAATATGTTGTGATACGTTAAAAACCTGTTATTCTTTTCAACACGTCGTGACAGCATTTCTTCTACTTGCCTGTTGCCTAATGCCTGTACTCTCCAAGCAGAGGTTTGGGTTTATTTTTTGGTGTGTTTTTAGGCTTTTTTTGGGGGGGGGGTTCCCTTTTGCACTGGAATTTTTTTTCACCCAACCCAAAAAATTCCAGTGCAAAAGAACCCCCCCCAAAAAGCCTAAAAACTCGCCAAAAATAAACCCAAACCTCTGATTGGAGAGTACATGCCTGTTGTTTATTATTCCACACAACTGAAGTGAACCTTACCTGCACATTGGCTCTATTATCAATGTAATTTGCTAATTACACATTACAATGTGTTGATGTACCTTGATGATAAAGCCATTCCACTTTGAAAACTTAGGATAGAGGATTAACTAAAAGTTGGCCGCTGATACAATGAATACAAGACATACATCCTTTAATCATGTATTTGCTGAATTCCAATAGTCGACAGAATGAAAAGAATTATTACATATGCTGATATGCCTGAAGATAGAATTGAAGGCAAGAAAGTTAAGTATATTTGCTTTGTTGCAATAGCCAACAGAATAGAACATGCAAGGGCAGTCTGTAGATCCAACTTAGTCTGAAACAACTTCTCCAAAGTAGAAACTGTTGTTTCTCTGCTGATACCTCTGAGCATATCCATTCTCTTGCCCTCTTACTTCCAAGTAAATCATACTTAGGGCTTTCTAACTTGCATATTGTACAACATAAGGTCCTCATTCTAACTTAAAGTGTTATTTTGGTACAGTTATCCAGAATAGCGCATTTGAAGGCTTAAAACAAGCTAAGTAAGTCCATACTAGTAATTACGTCTGTCTGAGCTGGTAAAGAAGCCTATCAACATTTCTGCTCTATGGATAGCCGGTACATGTTATATGATAGCATGTTAATCCACACATCTATTAATGGTGACTACAAATGTTACTTTTCACTATCTACGCCTGTCTGGTGATGACCACATACCCGGGTCCTTTGTTTGCACCATCCTGACCGCTCGTGTCAGTACCGGAGTTAAACGAACCGCCGCCTCCTCCGCCATTTGGGTTACAGCACTCTCCCCTGCCTCCCCCTGAGTACCCCCCTCCCCCACCTCCTCCACCACCCCACCCATAACTCCCTCCCCCTCCACCAAATCCACCATCAGCATTATTGAAGTTCCCACGTCCTCCAACCCCGCCATTCACAAACGCCTTCCCACCTTCCCCACCGAGCTCACAACTCTCCCCTCCAAACTGTTTAGAACTCCCTCCATCCGTCAGCAGCCCTCCCCCTCCCCCACCCATGCAGTTACCCTTCCATTCTGTCGCCCCCTGTCCGTTAGATCCTCCACTACAACCAGATCCCCCATAACTCTTGTTACCAGTACTGGACACAGTCCCGTCACACAGGGGGTTATGGGTCCGTAGTCCCAACCCTGCCCCTCCCCCACCCCCGGCGATAATGAGTGGCTTGTTGTCTCCGCTGGTGACAAATGTACCGCCCCCTCCTACATTCCAGTAATCCTTGTTCTCAGCACCTTCTTGTCCCACCAGGATCTTCAGAGTTTCACCTACAGTAGTGAAAAAGGTACATCAGATTTTGTATCCATTGTTTAGTCTCTCTCCCTATCTATCTCTCTATCTATCTCTTGAAGCACAAGATTTCTTTCTATTACTATCTTTTATTAAAAATTATTCTTTAGAACTAAGGCCACAGCAAGTAAATTTTATGGATGACATCCTCTACAGACTCCAAATCTAATGCGATAGGGCGAAAAAAAACAAGGCGGGCCAAAAAAAAACAAGATTGCTACATTTTCAAATTTTGAGATTTAAACAAGACTTGGGGTGTCAAAACATGATATCACAACCAAGAAGTCATTTCTCCTGTATTCTACAGTATTACATGTACCTGCCCTCATACATGTAGATGTGTATAAATCTCAATTAACTTGAACAGTTGTAGAAAAGAGCTTGTACCATCATGGGCAGCTAGCATACGGGGTATTCATTTGTGATGGAACACCTAGGACTATCAACACATCAATTGCAAGTAACCGTGCTTGAAGTTTGCGGGATCAACTATGGTCCCTGAACCGACAGACAATTTAACATATTTGCTCATAGGGCAAAAAAATTCTTGTTTTTTTTTTCCGAAATCAGGCAAAAATCAATGCGCGCGAAGGATGTCATCCATAAAAATTACTTGCTGTGGCCTAAAGTAGATGATCCAGATTTGCACACACACATTTTATGGTATAGTGTTGATACTCAGTGTTCTACAGTAAACTTGTCACCCTGGTGAAATGATATGCACTAAATAAGTCAAAGGCTACATAAGTACTAACTAATGTACATGCACTACAGTTAAATAATCACACCTTGTTTGAGGTTAAATGTTCCCCTCAGTACGGCACCCCGTCCTAGGGCGGACACCGGGTTGCACTCACCCCACCCTGCAGCAGCACCTGTCAATCAAACATGACTGTCACTTTCACTACACACATTTAAAGAAACATGGACTATTAAATGACTACTGCACAAAAGAGAAAACAATTCAAGCATAAAGTTATAGCTACTGGCTTCAAATCATTTTGGTAATATTCAGATTACGCATCAAATACTTATTTCCATGTGCGCGTGTGCTTGATTAAGTACACCAAACTTTACATCAGTTACATTTACTATTAACTGAACGTTCCTACCCGCTGCCTCTATGCTGTACGTTCCCGTCCGCGGTACAGTGAAGTGTTGTATCCCGTCATGTAGCGTCACCAGGTGTTCATGGTCCTGTCCCCTGTAGTGGGTACCCAGGGTAGTGGGGCCCAGACGGCCGCTGGCGCCCAGGGTGGTCAACTTGGCAGGTCCAAATTCTGAGGGGACAGTTACTGTAGTGATCATCGGTTATTCAAGAACATTTGTTTAGGCTAAACAACTTTTAAAAAGCTCGTACTTACCTAAAAAAAAACATGATTTTTACAGGCAAGATGGCAGTCAACATATGCATTTTTCTGGGTCCAATGATCCGATCTAAATACAAAGATCTTAAGTTGTCTTTTATATGTACTTGGTAATAAATAATTTTTTTAAACAAATGATCACTTCACATGCAATACTAAACAACGTACCGACGATGTCACCAAGGATCATTTCCCTTTCCTCCCTTTCCGTCCTAGGATCAAACCTGACGTAACTGATGTCGTCAGGAATGTCCGGGGTTGGACATTTCAGCAGAGACTCCAGCCGGGCCGTGACGTCAGAGTGCACGTTCATGACGTCAAAGTCACTGCCATGCTCCACGACTTTCTGTGAGAAGTCCACTGTGCTGGACAGACAGCCTAAGGTGCTCTCAACACTGTCTGCTGTAGCAGAGAGCTGCTTGGAACGGGCTGCTGTGACGGCCGCTAACTTTTCTTTCAGTTCAGTCTGCTTGCGTCTGACAAGGCCAGTGTAGTACTTGATCTCTTCCTCCGCAGCTGCATCGATGTCGTCTACAGCTTTCTTACTCCTGGTGTCCAGTTCTGCTTGCTTCTCAGCTACGAACCCTGCAGCGTCTCGGTATTCCTTCATTTTCGGCCTGGCAGCTGCAAGATTGTGTTTGATCTTTGCCCTGACGTCACTCACAACATCTGCCAGCAAGCCGTACTTGTGGTCTTTGTGCTGCAGTACCGTGCAGTCCCGGCAGATGGGGCTCTGGCACGTCTCACAGTAGAACTTCAGCTTCTCGTCTTCATGTTTTGGGCACATCGGCAGAGATCTTGACTTGGCTGATGACGTCTTGGTGATCAGTTGCTCTTTTAATTCCGCCACTCCGATGACTTCATGGTCACGTGTACGTTTGGCACGACGATGGGCACGAGCACATTCGTCACACAAGAACTCTTCACACACAACACAGCCAGAAGTAGCCACTTCTTCTTCACAGACATCACAAGACACTTTGTTATCCTCCTTGCTAACCAAACTCTTGTGAGCGTCAACGGTGTCCCTCAAACTCAGGACAAAGAAGTTGTTTTTGAGCCCGGCGACACTGCCCTCCGGAAGTACAGTTTCGATCCGACATGTTGGACACGGAAACTTGTCCTTTGATTTACTTTGTTTCGCTACAAACTTCTCCAGACAGCCTTTACAGAAGGTGTGAAGACACGGCAGGATCTTGGGGTCCTTGTAGGGCTCCAGGCAGATCGTACACTCCAGAAAGTCACCCGAAATCTGGCTGAGAACGGCCTCCGCCATGACACCTGTACGCTTCAGGTGAGATACCGTTACAGGTGAACTTTGAACTTCTGTTCAACACAGGGTCACTGTTTATAAAAGCATCAGGTTTCAGCGGAGACCCGACTAGGTAAATAAAACTACTGACATCATCTTTCCCTCAAATAAAAAGAGGGCTTCCGTGCATATTTTCGACGAATATACATAACCATGTAGTGGATTCTGTTTTGATGTACAATAGATAGGTTGCTTAATCTTAATTGTAGCTGTACACGTATTCCTTTAAGTTACATAGCCTTGGCTTATGTATGCATTTGGCAAATAGATGTTCTAATACATGTACAGGTGCAATACAGTGGACGTTATAGGATTTGTAACTGTAAGGAAAAGTCACCTAATGAAACATAAAGCTTGATAATGTATCCTTGGGCATAGGCACAGCGGGCTCATTTCACATACGGTGGGGTTGGGGATGCCAAGCTAACACTTCTCTTGATAAAATATATTATATATATAGTGAAGCCCGTATCGTGGCTATATGCTGTCCTGTAGACAACATACTAAGCATTTGAACAGTTGGCCTATACGTGTAGTATGTACAGCACATGGTAGATACCTGTATACTGGGTTAGGTGGGTGGGCGGGGCTATTCCAAGCTGGCACTATGTAATGACAGAGCCTGGCTTTGGGGAAAACGTTTTGTACATTGGGGGTAAAGCTACGCACTAAAGCAGCAGCCACTGTTGTGTCGGTATAAACCCAGTAACTGTAGCCAAGGAAGAAGAGAAGAGGAAAAAAAACAGATAATGTATGTATAAATAGAGCAGAATGACCAAGCTACAGACAACAAGGAATTTTTTTTCACCCAACCCAAAAAAATTCCAGTGCAAAAGAGAAACCCCCCAAAAAAGCCTAAAAACACGCCAAAAATAAACCCAAACCTCTGCTTGGAGAGTAAATGCCTGTTGTATATTATTCCACACAACTGAAGTGAACCTTGCCTGCACATTGGCTCTATTGTCAATGTAACCTGCTCATTACACATTACAAGTCCATGTACCTTGATGATAAAGCCATTCCACTTTGAAAACTTAGGATAGAGGAGTAACTAAAAGTTGGCCGCTGATACAATGAATACAAGACATACATCCTTTAATCATGTATTTGCTGAATTCCAATAGTCGACAGAATGAAAAGAATTATTACATATGCTGATTTGCCTGAAAATTGAATTGAAGGCAAGAAAGTTAAGTATATTTGCTTTGTTGCAATAGCCAACAGAATAGAACATGCAAGGGCAGTCTGTAGATCCAACTTAGTCTGAAACAAGTTCTCCAAAGTAGAAACTGTTGTTTCTCTGCTGATACCTCTGAGCATATCCATTCTCTTGCCCTCTTACTTCCAAGTAAATCATACTTAGGGCTTTCTAACTTGCATATTGTACAACATAAGGTCCTCATTCTAAGTTAAAGTGTTATTTTGGTACAGTTATCCAGAATAGCGAAGCTAAGTAAGTCCATACTAGTAATTACGTCTGTCTGAGCTCGTAAAGAAGCCTACAAAGATTTCTGCTTTATGGATGGCCGGTACTTGTTACATGATAGCATGTTAATCCACACATCTATTAATGGTGACTACAAATGTTGCTCTTCAGTATCTTCGCCTGTCTGGTGATGACCACATACCCGGGTCCGTCGTTTGCCCCATCCTGACCGCTCGTGTCAGTACCAGTACCAGAGTTAAAGGAACCGCCTCCTCCTCCGCCATTTGGGTTACGAGCCTCTCCCCTGCCTCCCCCTGAGTACCCCCCTCCCCACCTCCTCCACCACCGTTTCCA